GGAGCCGCAACGGCACAGTTTTTTGGGCGGGAGGCATGAATTTCACAAGAAATTCTATCAAGTTCTATTCTGAAATATCATCTAAGATATCTATGATTCTTACATATTCTTACTGTAAATCCTCTAGGAATATCTAAGATATATCGAAGTAGCCTTTTTCCCCTCGGTACCAATGGATAACGGGGTAATATTTCATCCCTTCAGCTCCTTTTTGCTGCCACCGTCCCCAGCACAGTTTTATGGTGACTTTGAACCAGAAACTAAATGCATATGAAATCTCTAGAAATGATGGTGAAACATGGTGAAACATGGTGAAACATGGTGAAACATGGTGAATCATGGTGAAACATGGTTAATCATCCCATCATACGAGTCATCTTACAATATCTAAATTGATTTGTAGCGAATTTGCCCAGATCTCATGATCCTTAAGTCTTAAGTTTCCTTGTTGCTTGCCCATCATCCCCTTGTCATTCCATCATCCCATCGAGCTGCGACAGCCGATCCCCAGGAGAGTACCTTGGAGTTGTTGAGCAAAGCCCGATACGCTGGCTTCTCCTTTGGCCGCGCACTACAGGAGGTCATCCAAGGTGCGGATCCGAGATTCTGAGAGATCTAGGCTGAGGTGGTGAGTTTTGAGCGTTTTGACAGAGGCGAGAAATCAGAAATCTTTGGCAAATCCCCTGAAAAATGGCGAGAAACGAGCGATTTCAACCCTAGCTTTGGGGAACATGGAGCAAGATAACGTCACGGTCATCCCCCAACGAATGCCCTGGATTCTCATGGGATGACCTTGATTTCTGAGGATGGTAAGCCCCATTTTTGATGCTGAAACTTCCCATGTTTGATTCAAGGATGAGAATGGACTCGTTCCCTAGCTTCCCTATCTCTCCCTGGCTAGGTACTCCAGGCTGCAACGCTGGAGCGTCGACCTTGGAAGAGGAGAATGTTCATCCGAAAAAGGTTGGATCCTGATTCGTAGCTCGGTTCGCTATTGTGGCCAAAAAAACAACTTTTTCTGAAGCCATGTAATGTTTGGAAGTTTCACTATTGTGGCAAGATTTTTTGGCAGGCAACGTTTTTCGTCAAACGTGTTTGTGTGAAAAAAACTTAACATTTTTCTGGGAAAATATTCCTTGTCTGCCTTTCCCAAAAGAATCAGATCGCTTATTAAACATTAAACCCTTATTAAAGAACAGCTTTTCCACAAATTTCCAAGGCACTGGGCCATGAGAGGGCCCAATTCACTTTAGCAGGTTTGTTGCCAGGGTTTACCATGGTTTAGCAAACTTTTCGCTGATCCTGGAGAGAAGATAGGCAATTGCTCTTTCCAAAAGCAATTGCCAAGTTCAAAGTCCAAGCCTTTCCCACAGACTTTTTCTGGTGCTTAGTTCGTAGGGAATTTTCGGGAATGATCCATGGATCATGACATTCGTAATGTCATCATCCCAGCCCCAGCAACCCATCCATTCCCTGGACTGGTGAAGGAGCTCCTGGACTTTGCCGCCTCGGCCGCCATGGGCCACTGCGGTGCGGGCGACTTTTTGCTGGGGCAGGCGGGAGAGGAGGATTGAAATCTTGGGAAATCTTGGGAATGAGGTCGAAAATGGGGGTTAATCTTAGTAGATATATAACCATAGTATACCATAGTTATAGGGTTTTATATCCCAACTTTTGGGGGTTTATAACCATGGTCAATGTTAGTAAAGCACCCATGATTTAATGGGTGTACAGTATGGGATTGTCTCAAAATTCGGAACACCAAAACCACATGTTTTTCTTCCTCTCGTTCGTTTAAGCAAAATGATGTTAGCATAGTAAACCATTCCCAATTGTACCACAAACCGTAAATTTATATGCGTGGTTTATGATATTGCTTTATTGAGATTACTAGTGGGGATAAACATGAATAAACTATATATGTATATAGTGTAATCATCCCAGGTTCAGCATTTTTGTATCCTGTATCCAGTTGTAATCTAAGTGTGGATAAAATGTGGGGATGAATCACCGACCAAAGTGGGTGGACATCCATTTTTTTCCTAGCTCCAGCTATTTTAGGTGTGAACAGCAGGATGCCAGGGCTCTTACCCAGAGAAAAATACCCTCTGGTAATTTAACATAGCTATTGAAAATGGCCATTTATAGTTGATTTTCCCATTAAAAATGGTGGTTTTCCATAGCTATGTTAGTTTACCAGAGGGTAACTGAATTCTAGATCATGATGAACACATAAATAATGAATCCTTTTAAGTCCATGACTGTTAAGATTATTGGGTGGTTTTGACAGCCAGAAAACAAACATGTGGCATATCAATGTATATAATGGGATTGATGATTGTGAGCTGATGGTATGCCATAAAATGATTGGGAGTTATGAATATTCAGATGATATTGAACTTCAGATTATTGAAGATTATTCAATGCCATAAAACTCCCAAGAATCTTCAACAATCTGAAGTTGCTGATGGTTTTTTGCACTTCCCTGTGGTTCATCCGTAATCTACTGGGATCACAGGAAATCGGAGCGCCAAGGAGTACAAGGTGATGGCCCCGCCAGTGCAATGTGTGTTGGTTAACCCCTATGAACATCTATGAACTATATACACACCATACATACAAAGTGTAACTACAAAAATATGTGCATCCTAGCCCTATGAACTAGTTGTTACACACCATTTTTCCTGTTTTACATTATATTACATTATATTAACCATAATTTGACCGTACATAGGTTATAAATACTACTTAACCCATGTTAAAGCACTGAACTACAACAATAAGCGAAAACGAGAAATATATGGGGCCCCAGCCTTGTGAGGATGCCGCCGCTGCTGCTGCGGCGGTCTTCGAGAGCTTCGGTGGTGTGGAGGGCTACACAACGTATCTGCGAAACGAAGTGAAGATCCTCGGACGAATCATGGAGATGTATGGGGAATATGAGGGGACTATTTCTTCATACCCTCTGGTGATGTCAACAGTTTGTTATTGAAAATGGCCATAGAAATAGTGGATTTTCCCATTAAAAACTGTGGATCTTTCCATAGTTATGTTAGTTTACCAGAGGGTAATGAGGGGAATTTTGTTTGAGGTCTTCATATGTTGGATTCAAGAATCTTATGGAAATCCTAAGATGGTGGAAAAATCTCAACTGGAATTCAACTGGAATTCCGGGGAAGATTTCTCCTAAACGAAGATTTTGATCAGATCGTGGGGATTCAACCGGAGATGGGGATTGAAAAATCACAGGCTTGGACCGTGGATACCACAGCCAGATGTGGATGCCCCCCAGGAATCCATTAAATTGTTCGAAATCCATTTCTTCCAAGCTAAAACCTCTGGTATTTTGTTACGGCTTGCTATTGAAAATGAACAGCATGAACATAGTTGATTTACCGAACTTAAAGATTGTGATTTTCCAGTTCGCTATGTTAATTTACCAGAGGGTAAGTACAATTCTTTCCCAAGCTAAATCCATTTTTTTCCGAAGTTCGACCCGTTTTTTTCCAAGTTAAATACACTTGCTAAATCCTATTTCAATGTTGGGTGATTGGCTTGAATTTCAATATATAAATCCAATTTTTCTTCAAGGTAAATCCAATGTGTCCCAAGTGAAATCAGTACTTTCCCGCAGTTCAATCCATTTTTTTCCATGTGAAATCATGTGAAATCCATGTTTTTCCACCCTAAAGTCATTTTTTTGTTTTCTTTGCCAAAGCTAAATCCATCTTTTCCCAGGTAAAATCTAGATTTTCCAAGTTAAAATCATGATAATCCCAGGTTCACTCCAGGACGCCACGCCCGTTTGACGTCCCGAGGATCCCGGGTGCGGACGTGGCGCTTAATGGCGGTGCGTCCTGGCGGCGCCTGCTGGCAGAGGTGGAGGTGGCGGTGCGCTTGGCACATCCACCCCAGGAGGGGAGCCTCCGGGGCGGTTTTTCATGGGATTTTTGTGGAAAATAAAGGCCATAGAGGCCATGAAAAACCTATACCCTCTGGTGATGTCAACATAGCTATTGAAATTGCCATTTATAGTGGATTTACCCATTGAACATGGTGATTTTCCATAGTTATGTTAGTTTACCAGAGGGTACAGTATCTGGTTGGTGGTTTGGAACATGAATGGATTATGACTTTCCATTAATATTGGGAATGTCATAATCCCAACTGACGAACTCCATCATTTTTCAGATGGGTAAGTTGAAACCACCAACCAGGGATTTTGTGGAAAATTCGGGAGAATGTGGGAATGATGGGAAAATCTGGGAAGATCTATGGGGAAATCTGGGAACATTTTGGAAACACATGGAAACTTGTGGGAAAATATGGGAGAATATCGGAGACTATGGGAAGATATGGGATTTAAAGTCAACTTGTAATGAACAAATATGGGAAAAGTAATAGGAAAATCCACTATTAATGGAGGTTTATAGCTGGGAAATTCCACTATAAACTCTATAAATGGAGGTGAATCACCCTTAAAATTAGATCCAAATAGATAGAGGTTTCGATGGGAAGTTCATCTATAAATTGATAGTTCCATCACTCATGGAAATATCGATTAATCTCGGTTAGTTAGCCACGGTCAGATTAACATTTTTATTTGATATATATTCAACGGAGATTCAACCATGATGACTAGATGAAATATGGACTTCTCTCTCTTATCGTGACTTTTGATCATTGTTCAAGTGGCAGTCTTGACAGGAACAAACATGGACATGCATTTGGCAGTGGCTTGGCAAACCATCAAAGCTATGACCATGGCAACCATCAACCGGTGGAGATCATAAAGTATGAAAGGATTTTGAATGGTGATTTAACCATGCGTATATCTTTTTAGGCCATGGCAATCATCGAATGGTGATTAAATGGATCAACATGTCTATTGTATCATCTCCTATAAACGGAGGTTTTACTGGAAGCAGAGCATCGCATTTCTTGGATAATGTATGATAATTTCAATTTAGATTTCATTAACCATGGGACCCATGGGAATATCTATTATATATGTAATCTCATGGTTATCCACGAGGGATACTGTACTACACACACAAATGATGGATACGATGTGACTTGGTCCCTACATGGAGGCACGGAGGAACGTCGACCTATGGGAGGAGCACCGAGGAGGCAAGGCCTCGCAAGGCCGTGCCAACCAATGCCTCGATGTCGTGGTATCGCGCTTCTACATGGCCGGCAGTATTTCTTGAGTTTATTTACCGGGGATCGTGCTCCTGGCGCTGAGACAGAGATTTGCTATTCGAGGAAAAAAACATCGAACTTCTACTAAGTCGGCAAAAACTGTCATACACTGTCTTTCGGGGAAAAATATACTTTTCGCCCTCCTTGCGACAACAGATTTGCAAGTCCAGATCTAATTTGTATAATTGCAGACGTCAGGCCTCGTTTGGCATTGCTTTCTGGCAGCTAGCACTCGTGCAATTGTTTCCGGTCGCCCCAACGCCTCGCTTCAAGAAGATATCACAAAGTGTTTCTGCAAATTCCAAAGTCTTCAAAAAGTTGAAACACAGTTTTTTCTTCTTTATTTTTCAAAGTGGGAGAAATCTTGCACAACCAGTCTCTAAATTTGCAGGCTGGGATTTTTTTGGCTTTTGATATCATATGATTTCATGGGATATTAAAATATTAAATGTTCGATTGTATCATGGTAATACTGCGGTTCATGAGGCTCATTGAGGCCAATATGGATATGACCCCGAGGTCAATGGTGATCAACCAATGATGGATCTCTATTCTGAATCGGAGCTGGTGAACACTTGGGTCCAGTATTAGTGTTATGAGTTTGTAAATGGGAAATGATGTTCTACTGTAGTTGGTGTACCCTCTGGTAAACTAACATAGCTATTGAACATGGCCATTTATAGTGGATTTTCCCATTAAAAATTGTGATTTTCCATAGTTATGTTAGTGTACCAGAGGGTATGAGTGAGTAAATGGGAAATCATGTTCTACTGTAGTTGGTGTACCGGTATGAGTGAGTAAATGGGAAATGATGTTCTACTGTAGTTGGTGTACCCTCTGGTAAACTAACATAGCTATTGAAAATGGCCATTTATAGATATTTATAGTGGATTTACCCATTAAAAATGGTGATTTTCCATAGTTATGTTAGTTTACCAGAGGGTATGAGTGAGTAAATGGGAAATGATGTTCTACTGTAGTTTGTGTACCCTCTGGTAAACTAACATAGCTATTGAAAATGGCCATTTATAGATATTTATAGTGGATTTGCCCATTAAAAATGGTGATTTTCCATAGTTATGTTAGTTTACCAGAGGGTATGAGTGAGTAAATGGGAAATGATGTTCTACTGTAGTTGGTGTACCCTCTGGTAAACTAACATAGCTATTGAAAATGGCCATTTATAGATATTTATAGTGGATTTTCCCATAAAAAATGATGTTTTTCCATAGTTATGTTAGTTTACCAGAGGGTATGAGTGAGTAAATGGGAAATGATCTTCTACTGTAGTTGGTGTACCCTCTGGTAAACTAACATAGCTATTGAAAATGGCCATTTATAGATATTTATAGTGGATTTTCCCATTAAGAATGGTGATTTTCCATAGTTATGTTAGTTTACCAGAGGGTATGAGTGAGTAAATGGGAAATGATGTTCTACTGTAGTTGGTGTACCGGTATGAGTGAGTAAATGGGAAATGATGTTCTACTGTAGTTGGTGTACCCTCTGGTAAACTAACATAGCTATTGAAAATGGCCATTTATAGATATTTATAGTGGATTTACCCATTAAAAATGGTGATTTTCCATAGTTATGTTAGTTTACCAGATGGTATGAGTGAGTAAATGGGAAATGATGTTCTACTGTAGTTGGTGTATCCATTCTTTGTTACCCCAAAGAATGGGGGCGCATCTATTGAAAATTCGGTTGATGGAGTGAATATTGGGGAATGTCCATGAAAAATGATAAAAAATGGGCTAAGTGAATGGTGGCAACAGTGGCAACCATTGAGGATGATTTTCTTCTGAATCTGAGCCACTTTCGGCGCTTGTGAATGCAACATGCAACGTGGCAGTGGAAGCGACATGTTCGAATCTAAAAGGGCCAGGTCCAATGCAATTTCGCAATTTCCAGGCACATTTGGGTGGTTATTTACCTAGATCTGTGTTGGTGAAAACGCGTTTGGAATTGATCCACATAGTTGATAACCATTGTCTAATCCCTACATTGCCATTCTCATTGGTTTGTGTGAAGAGTCGGGCTGATCCCAATTTTATATGGATCGAATCCCTACATTCCCTATGTGATTTTGAATCGTAAGGATCCGATCACCATGAAGTTCAAGATGAATCTGCATTTTACATGACATACATATCCGATATATCCCAGATTTCTTGCTGGTCGCCTTGCATCTTGGAGCCGTTGCAAAGGAGTCGCTAAAGAACTTTGCGGTTGCAGCCATTTGTGCAGGAGGTGCGATGGATCGTGCAATGGATCGTTGTGGGATGGAAACGAATCTCAGGGAATATGGCATCATGGCTCAATGTTGGGATATCCAATGATGATAATAGGGGTGTGTCTGAAAATGGTTAGTATACCCCCAGTAAAAATGGCCATAGTAGGGAATATGATGATTATCCATGATTATCCAAGGAATTGGGGGTACCCTATCTTTAAGACAAACCCAGATGTTGGTGATAAAGGAAAGGGATATGGCAGTGTGTCAAAACCAATAGTACCCCTTTTTTGTTCACATCAAAATAGCTGGGTTAAAATGGATGTGAATAACCCCCTAACAAATGGTATTTTCATAGCTATTGATCCATAGCCATATGAAAGAGTCCGGTTTTGGCATACGCCAAGCAGCAGCCAACCTGTTGGAAGGCACCGGCATGCATGGGCATCAACGCTGGGAGGCAATGGCAGCAATGGCAGTGGTTTGGGGTTGGGTGTTTTCAACGGAACAATGGCCCCCTAAGAGAATCCAGATTGGAACCATAACTATGGTTTATGGTACGCAAATAACTATAGTTAATGGGGTTTATAAACCAACTTACAACTGGGGGGCACCATCCTGTATGTTGGAACCTCTTTTTCGGGTATAGGCCAATGTACAAGTATCGATTTTTTAGTATTATATAGTATTACCGAAAGAACAAACATCAAGGAATAGTATAGCCAGTCGTTATACTATACCATTGATGAGGGAGTTGTGACCCAGCGCTATGCGCAACACATGTTTCAACCCCTGTTTGGTCGGAATTCGGCTACGCCTGTAGATCAACTATGACATCTATGACTTGGTAATTGATACCTATGGTGAGGGTTGCGGATTCCTGAAACGTCGCCATTGCACAGGATGTTGCCTCGAAACTGATGCTGACGATTGCTTTCGAGCCGCTGTTGCTGCGGCTTCGCTATGTGACTGCCAGGGTCGGCTGGGATAATGGTGGACTGTAGATCTAGTGGAAGGGGTGATGTGAGAATTGATACCTCTGGTAAACTGTCCCATAACTATGGATAATCACCATTTTTCATGGGGAAATCCACTATAAATGGCTATTTTCAATAGCTTCTTGTATGTTTACCATAACTATGGATAATCACAATTTTTGATGGAAATCCACTATTTCTATGGCCATTTTCAATAGCTTTTTGTATGTTTACCAGAGGCTATGGGTTGGTCTGAAAATGTAGCCCAAAATAATCCAAACTCCATTGGTGAATCATGCTTCTGTTTTCAAATGATCATGTGGAAGGCATATTAGGTATACCCTCTGGTGAACTAACATAGCAATGGAAAATCACCATTCTTAATGGGAAAATCCACTATAAATAGCCATTTTCCATTGCTATGTTAGTTCACCAGAGGGTATTAGGTATACCTCAGTTTCACAGAAACCCATGTGACATCACCATGTGGAACTGGAAGGTGAGGCCATGGAAAGGTGACACAAGCGTCATCCATTCAGGTGGATGCATAGTGGCGCATGTTGTTTGAATCTCATACAAGGTGATGTGGCATATTTATACAATTTATACATTTCAATATATTGCTATAAATAAATATATATATATATATATTATCAGTATTATTGTTATTATCATTTTTATTAGTACAGTATGATTATTGTTATTAGTAGTAGTATTTTTGTTATTATTGTTATTACTATTATTATTGTTATTACTATTGTTATTATTATATTTATTGTTATATTACTATTAGTGTTATATTATATTATATATACACACATAGACATAGATGAGCAATTTTTTCTATATCTCATAGATTACGATCCCCACGTCGTTTTTCCGAACCGTTCTTTTCTCCACAAAAAAAAAACGGCGGAGGTGATCTGGCTCTTGCGGCAACAGAAGTTGGCCGTCTCGGAGTGGATGTCCTTCTTGGCTGAAGGGCCGGGCGCCAGGCCATGGGGAAGTTCCCCGGGGAAGCCATGGGGAAAGCCCTGGCTGACGAAGAATTTGCCATGATCTTATGGCGAAGATTGCGGCATATCAAGGGGATGTTTTTTATTGGTGGTTTTATGGGATATAGATGGATATAGTGGGACATGTCATCATGCCAACATGTATTTGGGTCTGAACATGGTTTTTTTTGCTGCCACTCTATGGCACGTGTCATGAGGAAAATGATGAGAAACCCGTGGATGGAATCGGGTAATTATATCACATTATTATATTATATATACACCCTATTTTCAGTCAAACTCAAATGAGCTGTTCAGCAATGTATAAGCACGGATTTCAGCAACAAACATTGTCGCGGATTTTCTGGCCAGTGATGTCGTGACATCACTTTCCGACCAATCACCATAAAACATGAGTTATACTCATCCGAAATTTATGTGTTGTTTTCTGATTAAGTTGGGAATATCATTTGATATGATCCAATCTTGAATTGGGTACCACATTCCCCAAAAGATCTGGAATTCCCAGGGGGCGACAAGATTAAGATTGGTGTCAGTAGCATCAAAAATTGAACAGAAAACCAACACGAATTGGGTACTTCCTGGATAGAACGCTGGAAATTGTTGCTTTCTGTTGGGTGGTTCCTGGATTTAAAGTGTCAAACAGGGTATAAGCAACACTGTTTCATGGTATTTCCTGAGTACACCGATTGGTAGATTAAAATGACCCAAGTGCGAACTTCATTCGGATGAAGGTAACTGGATGTGGGGAAAGAAATCATGTTCCGCTCCAAAGCCCGGAGATGTTCACATCTACCTTGCGTATCCTCGGATATCTTGGGATGTCCATTCCCCCCAACTTACTGGTGCGTTTTACGCAGGGAATTTTCGGGAAGGATCCATTTCATCACTAGTAATGTCATCATCCCAGCAACCCCCAGCAACCCTTCCATTCCCTACTAAGCACCAATAAGCCAATGATTGGATGTATTGATCCATGCCGCGCAGCAAGCGGCTCCGAAATCTTTGAACGTTGATGCTTCGACCCAGCGGTGTCAACTCAATGGGGATGTGATCAAGTTGTGAATGTCAACTCCAGGTAAAATATACGTGCGGTGGTGCCCACCACCCAGATATGATGTTGGTTTAGAACATGTCTAACCCCCATTAACATTCACTAGTTCCATATATCTGGGTAAATTGTAGTGACCTCACTCTGACCGAACCCTGGAATCATGGTTAATAAGGGAAATCCCCAGATATATCTACCATAAAGCTGAGTGAACTGGAGTTACTTGCACCAAATCACAGATTCCGACGGCAGGATTTCATCTCCACTCTTCACGCAGCATCTGACCGTCACATGGCGGAAGTGGATGTACCCAACCAAAATGGCGGAAGTAGGTCCGAAATTTTTTCGAGTTTTCTCCCAGTTATGGCCATGATTCTATGGTAAAATCCATGGTTTTCCATCGGAAAGCAGAAACTGTAACTGGACGGAATAGGGTGCCAATCTCAAACAAGGCATGACATCAACATATCAAGCCTCAAACGATTGGGCATGGGACCCATGGGACCAGGAATTGAGCCATACCCCAAAACAGAAAAAAACATGAAACAACTTCGAACCTGGAACACAAAACTGTCATTTGCAAAGTGATAGTGAATCTCGATCTTCTTTTTCTAGTCCTGTCCTCCTGGAGCGTGGTTTTTTTCAGACGTGGCTAGCTGGGAAATCCCCGAAGAAAATGGAGGTTTTGATGGGAAAATCATCTATAAATGGGTGAGTTTCCATTGTCATGTTGCTCAGTTACTCCTGTCATTTGGCAAAGCCAATATATAATAAGCTTGGCCAGGGACAGTATCTTGTTTTTATCTATTGAAGACCAAAGCTATCTACAAGCCATTACAAGCCTACCAATTGAATACCAAGAAGGCAATAAATCCCATAATGTCCAAGAAGGAACCTCCAATTGGGTATGGTCATAATCCCACCCCTGAATGCCTGAATACCATTGTTTGACCGTGTTTCCCTGCTAAAAAATCCATGCATAGTACATCCCCTGTTCCCAAATATCACTTTCTTGGGTCTGCCGATTGAATTAAATCCCGTTGGATCACTAGGTTGATTTATGCAACTTTGTCCCAATTCCATTATTCATTGGTTCCATCATTGGTAGCTCCCAGTCCTTGAAATTAGGCCCCATTTCTGGTCAAGCCCCGGACATTGGAGCCAGCAAATCCCCAGAAAATCTTCGTGATTTTTGGTGAATACATGTGAATAGACTGTATCTCCCATTTAAAATTATAAATGGTTGGAACATGTTGGAAATACCATAAAATACAATTTTTTTAAGAAAGCGAATTCGTCCCAAAAAAAGCCGGCTGGACTGTCCAGAGTGGCTCCTTTTTTGGCTGGTTTTCCAAAAAGGCGAATCGTAGCCAGAAGGGGGTGTGGTGTTTCTGGTGTGTGGCTGGAGCAACCGGCTGCTAACCAGGTGGCTTGTATATATACCCTCTGGTAAACTAACATAGCTATGGAAAATCACCATTGTTAATGGAAAACTCACTATAAATGGCCATTTTCAATAGCTATGTTAGTTTACCAGAGGGTAATCATTATAATCATGAATGATAATGTTCATGTGCATTTTCCATCATTTTCCCATATTAGTAGTGCAGGTTGTTGGAAAATGATGAGCTTCTACTCCATGGAAAATATATGAAAATACCAGTTTCCATCAGTTCCATCATTATTTTCAAGTTGTTCATAGTATGATTTCCAAGTTTCCATCATTTCCAAGTATCATTACCATTATTTTCCATCATTTCCACCATTTTCCATCAATATGAGTTCCAAGTTGAAATGGAAAATCATATCTTCCATCATTTCCATCATTATTTTCATAGAAAAATGAGTTCCAAGGGGCCTTGTTTCTACTCCAGGCCATGCGTTCCTCGCCGGTGGTCCGAGATCTCGTCTATGGTGCCTTCGATGATGCCGTTGGAGCCGTAGGTTCGATGCCGATGGCGGTGGGAATGAATGGTTCAGCCTTTTTGAAGGTGTTTGAATGGGAAAATGTCTAGGAAAATCCATTATAAATGTAGGGAAATCCATTATAAATGTAGGAACATCCATGATAGATGTAGGAAAATCCACTATAAATGAAGGTTTCTGTTTCGAAAATCACACGATTCTTGGATTTGCTGAGTCGGTGTTGATGTTCCCCATAATCCACCAGAACTGGGAAGATAGAAACAGGACTTGCCATGGTATCTGAACTCAGAGCACTGTGATCAGCCTTGGCATCAGGATCCCTTCCAAGTACCGGTGTGCATCCACCTTCAGGTGCTGTGCCTGTGGGTGGAGGATCCGTGCCTCCTCCGGCTGGGGCGGGCCAAGTGGTGCCTGTGGAACTGGACCGGTGACGAAAAAAATAACCAGGGCTTGGACGGCCACCATGGAAGCATCGCTTCATGCAGAAGGGGAAGGGCGACTTCATGTTCATGCCTTTGTTGAATTTACAAAAGCTGTGGATTGGGAGAGCACAGCACCAGTGGCATGGAAAGGCTTGCAGCCGAATTGCCAGCCGTGCTGGAAAACACGGCCCGAAATGGAGGAAAGCTGCAGACTGTGGTAACTTTTACAGCTTCGCGATGATTGATGCTTTTGGTGGCGGTGGCTCTTAAGCAAATCCAAGCACTCAATATCAACAACTGCAATAACATTGCCTTCTTTCACACATAAATCAAGGAAGAATGAGGATATACTGGGGAAATCGCCGGGGAAAACATGGATATTATTGGGATTCATGTTAGTGTTTGGAGACATCTTACTGTAATTCTTTATATAGTGAATACATAGCATTGAATGGAGAGAACTGGTTTAAATCACCGGTTTGGGCTTGAACATGGACCCAGGTATAGAAGAATGTTTGGAGGAAGTTGAGTTGATGGCATTGAAGCATTTAAGTAGCAACAGTTTGGTTTAGATCAACAAGAAACTGGATTCTAGCTATAGTTGCTTTATGTTGCTTTTAAGTTCAATTCAAACGAATTGTTCCAAAAACATACATTTTGATCTGAAATTCGGGATTTGCCAATAGTTGCTGCATGCAGGGGTCTGAACTGTCCCTAATTTATTCAGGGTCATACATGCATCAAGACGCATCCAGCTATCAATTGCAGATAAAGATACAAATGCCCCAAGCTAGTGGGGAATGGCTCAAAATGTGGGGATGGGTCAAAAGCTGAAAGATCCCTTTGATACCAGGGTCGAGGGAGCCATAGCTGCTATAGTTATATCTCAAAATAGGTACTCAGAGGATCCTGTTTGGCAACGGGGTAGCTGGGATGAGTTTTTTCCAGTGGTTGTTTAATGGGAAAACAATGGAAAACCCTCAGAAATCGGTCACTTCACTTTCCAGTTTTCGGTGTTCTCAAGCAGCTACGATTCGTCGGATTCGTCCGATCCTCCAGCCTTGCCTTCTGCGTAAAGGTGAACAGCTGATGAAGAACTTGATGGGGACCCTGACGGCCGCCTGCATCAATCCTGAGATCATGCTGAGGCCAGGTACCTCCCAAATCATCCAAGTCATAGGCCCAGTTTAGTATTGAAAAACCATGGTTTTTGGGGGATCCCCAGTTGTTGAGAAAGCCCCAGATTATGGACTTGTAATGACTTGTCCCTTTGGATGGAATATATCGGGGATATCCACAAATTGCCATTGCAAAGATGAGGGTGATTCATGCCCGACATTTTGGGATGCTTTAGAAACTTGGATCTTTGGCAATTCTGGGGTCCTTTTCTTTGGTGGGCTTATTGCTAGGGGGCAGCCTGGGAAGGAATTAACAACATCCACATAAGATATCTGTTGAAGCTTGGTATGTGCAGCACGCTACCTGGGTTGTGCTGCTGAGATGAGTACTACAGCTACTACAAGAGCAAGACATGGAACATCAAGGAAAAAATCACTCAGTGACTAGTGACTATGTCCCCGTTGGAGACTGTTCAGTTGTGACTGCCAGGTGGGGGGTGGGCCTAAAAGGCCGTTTCTTCTCCTCGTTGTGTTCCTGTCTTGTCAGTCCGTGCTGGAGAATGCTTCTCCCTGCCTCTGGCTGGGTCCCTTTTCTTGAAGGCCCAGTGACCTTGGAGCAGCTACAGCTTGTTGCAGGAACTCTCCAGGGTGCGAAGGATGCGATCTTGCAGCTACAGAATCATGTCAACCCTGGATTAATAAACCCCCAGGCTCTAGGCTGTTTAATTGGGAAAGTGCCATTTAAGTGGCAAATCATGACTATTGAGGGAATACCCCCCTGATTAACCATGGTTTATTAATCCGGGGTTGACATTAGCGATCTTTATTTATGTGCAGTGGCACCGACAGCAACGGCCCAAACTGATCCTTGCACTGACCTGGTGGTCCCTGGCACTCCTCAATGGGGTGGGGAGTAATGGATCAACTTTGAAACCCATGGTGAAAGAAAAGTGATTTGATACGGTAATCACATTTAAATATGTGGTGGCCGGGCCAGGGCAGTCAGGCTCGGAGGTAGTATGAAATACCAGTTCTGTACGTATGTTTAAATGGTAGGGCCCACTCCGCATGTTTAAAAAATTGCAAACCACAGGGAATATATGCAGGTAAATGGTCCAAATATATGGTGCTGATGATTTGGAACACTCTATGAGTCGGGTTGTTAAAGTTAGACCCAAAACAATGGTATTGAGAGCGGCCTGTGGGATTGCTACACAATCATCAGATGGAACTGGTTGTACTGTACTATACGATTTTGGCTTTGGTGGAAATTCCTTTCATTAAAAATTCGAACTGGGTGGAAGCGCCTGGCTAGAAATTGCTTGCTTCTCTCTTTCTTGCAAGAAATGTCCTAGGTGGAGTTTCTGGGTGGAAGTTCCTTGCTTCTTGGATGGAATTCCTAGATGAATTCCCTAGGTGGAATTTCGCGGGTGGTGGTGGAAGTTGCTTCCCTCTTTCTGCGGAAAAAAACCTAGGTGGGATTTCTTGGGTGGGGTATCCTGGCTGGCAATTCCTTGCTTTCCTTTGTCTTGGGGAAAAATTGCCTATGTGGACTTACCTGGCTAGAAATTGCTGGCATCTTTCCACCCGCGAATTTCCACCTAGGGAATTCATCTAGGAATTCCATCCAAGAAGCAAGGATCTCCCACCCAGGAACTCCACCTAGGACATTTCTTGCAAGAAAGGGAGAAGCAAGCAATTTCTAGCCAGGCGCTTCCACCCAGTTCGAATTTTTAATGAAAGGAATTTCCACCAAAGCCAAAATCGTATAGCACAGTACAACCTCAATACCATAAAAGACAGACTATTGACTAATGCGAAAGCATTTGCCAAGGATGTTTTTTTGATCAAGAACGAAAGCGAGGGGATCGAAACGGTGGACATTTGCCATTTGCACCAGGTACTGAGCTGGTGGAGCGGTCGCCGGCAGCTTCTTTTTCCGTATATTTAAATAGTTAACTTCCGTATATTTAAGATGGTTGGCCGGGCCAGGGAAAACCTGCCCGGAGGTAGTATAAAATACCTATTGCATTGTTTAAATATCCGTATATTTAAATGTAGGTACCGTAGCGGCTGTGATCTGTCCGAACAGCAGTCAATTGATTCCAATATTGTTGCTGCAGTTTTATTTGAGATGTTTTTGATGTTGTTTTTGATGTTGTTTTTAAGTTTGGATGCTTGGTTTGAAGTGGTGTGTTCTTGATTGGTGATGTTTTTCAGATGTCTTACATGTTTGCTGCTGTGTTTGGCATGCGTTGCCTTCTTTGGTTGAGCACGAATTTAAAAGTTGACGGTTTGTTTGCAGTTGGTTGTTGTGTTGTTTCAGTGGTTGGGTATCACTGGAAAGTCTTGGCCATCAACGAGATTTGCATGACATTTGGGCAAAGTCCTAGCCATTCAGTGGCCGACCTCATCATAAATGCTGAGTTGTTGTATTTACCCTCTGGTAAACTAACGTAACTATGGAAAATCACCTTTTTTAATGGGAAAATCCACTATTTCTATGGCCATTTTCAATAGCTACATTAAATTACCAGAGGGTAGTTGGATAGACCAAGATGTCGTTGGAATCTCTTGGATTCTATTACGAGCCGACCAAAAAGAGAGATCTGTGACGCCATTGGGACCTGAAAAAAGGTGGATGGCATAGAAATGGTGGATTTTCCCATGAAAAATGGTGATTTACCCTCTGGTGAACTAACGGTTTGCAATTGAAAATGGCCCAGTCGAAATAGTGGATTTTCCCATTAATAGCATGGTGGATCTTTCCATAGTTATGTGACAGTTTACCAGAGGGTAGATGCAAGAATCAGGGAAAAAACTGTATCTAGATGATTTCCCTCTAGAAAAAATGGTGAATATGGTGATTCTTTGGGCTTGGCAGTTTTTTTGCCCACAGATTAGGAGGTAACCCGCCGATGCCGCAAGGCCTCGAACAGATCCTGATTTGGATCTGACGGCGGAGAAGGAGCAGAAGGACCTGATGGGCCTGGAAAACCATCTCCCATGGTAACTATTGATATCCGAATGGGACAACCCGGACAACCATGGCGAGTTAGCCCCTGCTGGGTACTGAGGAAGCGGCAGCGTGGCAAGTTGATACGAATGGCTTTGCATAGTGTACATCGTAGAATTTAAAAAGACAGAGTTTCCTTATGCCATATGTATTAAATTACTGTGCAAAATATACTAAGTATACCACTTAGTAGATTTTGGGGGGGCCAGAACGGCCCAAAATGAGCTTGCTTCTTGGGTCCATTTCCCCCGGAGCTATGGCCGCCATGGCCACTAGGTACCCTATTCATGAGGGTAGCATGGTAAACTCACCCATATCCATCCAATCCATTCCACCCCACTCTCACTATCTAATTTCCAGCAATTGTTCGAAATCGTCCTCCAAATGTACACGTCATGATATGGGGATGCAACGTGCACCCTAGAGGACTCGGAGATGAATGGCAAAGAGAGCAACCGAAAGGACCGACCAAAAAAACGTCGTGATTTGGGAGAGAACACCGTCGAAAATGGGCTTCTTTGCAGGTGAATAGC